AAAGGACTTGTGTCGCTAAAGTTTCGTCGGAACGAAGTTACAGAAAATTAACTGACGAACGGAGACGTAACAATACTGAATGAGTTAATCAGTTCAGTGCCAGTAAGTGAATTACCCAATAAGCGTTTATTACGTTTGTTTCTCAGTGATCGAGTCATTTAGGGAGTTTGTTATTGATCGAGGAAATTCTCCAAGTAACTTAAGCGTGTATTAGTTTCAGAGTTTCTGTTGAAACATTTCGAAGCTAGGACTACCAGTGAACATACTCTGTAGCACACGTTATTGAAGAAATAATTAATTAATTATCGTTACATCGATTGGATTTGGGATTATTTTTACCAAGTAATCTAGAAGAACTCGTTCAACGCTAAAACACATACAACAACTGCTTGTAAAATAAAGTGGTCAAGTATTCTGTTCTGAGAATGAATGCTGTGTTTTCTTATATAGTTGTAACAATTCATTAAACATCAAAAACTTTGGACTTCCAAAATTTTTCATCCTTGAAATCATATGTGAGATTAAAACTTATAAAGTAAGCAATAGGATCACTTAAAAAAATCAACATCATTACTTTAAAATAATCTATCAAATATGTTATTTTTCAACATTTTAGATGGAATATTACGTTTATCAAATTTCAAGACTGCATTAGTGAGGTAGAATTAACAGTTTGACATTCCCTTATTGGATAACTAGCTTACTGGCACTGAACTGATTAATTTATTTAACTCATTCAGTATGTCATTCGTATAGTGTATCGTTTTCTACGATCTAGGAGCTTCAAATTTTGGGTCATCATCATGTTATAACAAGCTTCCTCTATCAAACAACCATCTGAATTAATTTATAGCTTATGAGCGCTAAACATAACGTTAAAAGTAATATATATATATATACAATCTTGTAGAGGTTAAACTTTTATTACAAAACAGTGACATTTATAAAGGGACAACTAAATAAACAGGTTAACAATATGCACTTTTCTTTCAACTACAGAGAATATTAGATACATTTTTAAAATAACCTTTCACCCGGCTTTGATATGTAAAGCCATTATTGTTATAATATTAAATTTATTTGTATCATATATATTTATGTATAGTCGGATATTACTGATTCTAATCTAGTAAAAAACTGTAACTGATTCATTGCTTGCCATTTCCTACTCGTTTTGAGACTTCTTTGATTGGAACTTGTCATATTTGGGTATAACACCATGCTCAATTAAACTATAGGCAGTTTCCAAGATAGTTCCTTCCATGCATTTTGGTTTAATTCCCAAGACATTTTTCATTCTTTCATTGCTGAACTTGTATACGTTTCCGATTCGTGATAGGATAAGGTTAACAGATTGATCTATAAAACTGACCAACCAGAAGACCAAGTACGGTGCCGATAAAGTAAAAACCCAATACCCTTGAGGCGAGAACTCTTTCTGTAAAATGTAGGCTATATCTCTCATCCATAAACTTCCACTTCCCACTATGTGCCGTTGTCCAGCGGCTTCCGGTATCGTCATGGCTCTGATGTGTGCGAGGGCAACATCTCGAACATCACAAATGTAAAAGTTTAGTCCGGGAATTAAAGGGGAAGACATATTCATTAAACGAACGATTAACTTGACGCTGGTCCCTATATTATTACTGAGCACCGGCCCAATGACCAGTCCGGGGTTTATTACTGTTAATTCAAACTTATTTTCTGTTGGTAGTTCCTCAACAAACTCCCAAGCCACCTTCTCTGCTACTGTTTTGCTCCTAGCATAAGTGTCCAGATCTGATGAATCTAAATTACTCCAATCCTGTTCGTCATAGATTTGACTATTTTCCACTGAACTCTCACCGTGCACTGCACTTATAGAGCTGGTAAGAATAACTCGCTTTACTGTACCTGCTTTGGCACAAGCTTTCAGAACTCTTTTAGTTCCTTCCACAGCTGGTACCATTAAATCACTATTCTCTTTTGGGGGTATGTTTGGAAAAGGTGAAGCCACGTGCATTACAAATTCACAATCCTGAACAGCTCTTATCCAGCCATCATCCATAGATAAGTCAGCTTCCACTAGCTCAATGGGATATCTTGAATTAGGGTAGACTTCTTTCACGTGTTTCACCTTTGCTTCGTTACCTATGCTCCTCACTGTGCCTCGAACGCGATATCCTTCTTTCAACAGTAAACGAATGATATGCAAGGCAATATAGCCTGATGCTCCAGTCACCAAAACTCTTGGCTGTTCTTCAGACATTATAGCATAAGGAAGTATGTCCCTTACTGGATTCGATATTTCAACTCTGAAAACTACGCTCAATGTTGTCTTTAAACAGCTGTGTAAAAAATGTTATCTAAACTATTTTCTATAACCTTCAGTATGACACTAGTGGTCAACAGTAAATGACCAAGAAACGACGTCTTTATAGTGTATTCTTAACAAAATTTAAAAGTTCGTGAAAACCGCTAATCAAGGAAACAAACACAGACGTTTGACAACACTGTACTGATAAATTTCATAACTTTCGAAGCTATAGGCAGTTTTCCTGGAACGCCAGGATCAAATACAAACATGTCCAACCTGTTTTTGACACGACTACCAATAATTACATTATAAGCAGGAACGTCGAAGGCCAGCACAGGCCCCGGGGCAAACATCTTCGCCAGGCCACCTTTCTCTCTCTCTCTTTTTTTTAACATTTTCAAGAATTTATTAAAAAGAAGAACCTAAATTAGGACAGCAACGAGCTCATAAACCAGACAAAATCATAGCATCAGCCGTTTTTACCTCACAGTAAAGCATTAAAACGTTAATAAAGTAACAACAAATATATATTAATTATTACTCAAATTATTATTTCAGTCATTCTTAATGTATCAAGCGTCTATATGCAAAGAAGAGCCAAAAACTATGGTTTTTATAATTAAATGAAAATATAGCCTAAAGATGCTTTGCGAGCTTTAACCAGGCATAACCAGGTTTCATTCGCCCGGGCCCCTGGGCAGTTGCCCTCTTTGCCCCCCCCCCCTCTCCTGTCGACGGGCCTGGTTACAAGCCTACAATTCCAAAATCAATACGTGGTTAACTCTGTACAGTTAATAAGTTAAGAAGGGAAACATGATTTGTACAAGACGAAATGTCTTGGAAGTTGTAAGGGGGGAACATTCACAAAGACACCGAGGCTTAACAGGGCGAAGTTATGATAAATATTTTAAAAATTACCGTAACACACACACACACTTATATATATAATTAATCCATATAGCTATTAAATAGTTACATTTAGTAATTTACACCATTATTTAGCATTTTTAGGCCTTATATTTTTGGACCGCAAATTTAGGGGGGGGCAATTATCCCTTTGCTCCCCAAAAGCTACGGCTCTGTATATATTGTTACGTCTCCGTTTGTTAATTAACTTTCCGTAACTTCGTTCCGACGAAACTTTAGCGACATAAGTTCTTTACTTAATAAAACTGGTTTATTCTTTCCGAATACAACTTTACGATACACTTATTTTCAACAATCGCCCTAAAACAAACGCTATATCAACGAACGTCAATAATACTTCTGACTGCAGTTCAATT